CAACAGAAAAAAAGAACAAGGATTAGTCTTGCCTCCAAAATGCAATCATCAGCATAACTCCCCATGTTCAGTGGAGATCTCTCGTATCAGTCTCAGGATAAAGCAAAGACACTCTGGGCTGTCCAGTCGTGGCACTGAACATCCATCCTTAGTCATCGCATGGAGATAGCCCATCTTTTGGGACATACCCTTATAGAAGGAAGTACTACGATTAATTGCTATATGACTATTTTGCCAGTAGTATCTCCTTATGGAGATGAGACTGTTTATTTAGGAGTTATGTATTTGATTAGAATTAACTACTTATCCCATCACATACAGTAACATGACCTGTTATTTTGCACTTCATTAGTGAAAAGTTTATTAGAATGAATCCATGAAGAACAAGTTGTAAATTAGAATTTTATACAGCAAGTGGTATTTTCATTGAAAAAAAACCTGAAAAGTAATTTTTAAATAACATTTAGTTTTGGAGACAATTAAAACAGTGATAATACTATGCTGTTTTGACATCTTTAGAAGATAAGATTTTTTTTAATTTTAACCTCTTTTATGTAAAGCAACAGAAATTTTGGATTAGAATCTCAGATGACCATTAGCAATCATCATATCTTTGTACAAAATAAGTCTTTTTCTAGCACCCAAAAATTACATTTGAAAAAATTAACTTTGGGGGAATTTTAAATGAAGCAAAATGTCCTGTTCCTACCCAGTTGTACTCAAAATACTCCTTGTCAAACCTGACGTGCAGGGTCGAAGCCTCCAGTGCCTAGGTCTGCTGTGGGTCATCAGCAATCTGTATCGCATCTCCTGGGCACCTGAGAGTACAGATACCCAAGATCGCAACAGCAGCAGTAAAGACAGTAAGATCTCCCTCCTACCCATGGATTTTACCTTTCAGCTGCCCACCTCATTTTAAGCAACCTACAAGAATTAAAAAAGATTTTACTTGGCAAACCTGTCTTGAGGTCCAATACCCTTAGTGTAGCCAGATAGATCGTCCTTTCTCTGAGACCTTGGCTCTGATGAGGCCTTTGAGCTAACAGAGAGCTGCGTCTCTTTTGAGTGGTGTCCTCTTCATCCATTGGCTCAGGAAAGCTCTAACTGGTTAGAAGCACTGGACAAAATAACAGCAGCCATGATAGAAAACTATACTGAAAACAGTTGTGAGGATACATACCTAAACAGAGATTTTTACAGTAAAATAAGCCAATAAAAGAACATCAGAGAAATTATTCAAAAAGGTAGCAGGGAGGCAGGTAAGATACATTTTGCTGGTTTAAATTATGTGACCACCAAAATCAATGATCTAAGAGAACAAGGTTAAAACTCCACATTTTTTCCAAATAGCAAACAGAAGAGAAAGGCAGAGAGGGATGCTGGCCTCTTCATTCTCCTAAAAAAACCTCCATTTTTTTTTTAGGAGCAGGGAGGAAGTTTCCAGACTGAAAAGGCAGCCTTGTTCAACTCTGGACCTCAGTTTAAACCGCAGACCAAGTTAAACAGTAAAGAAAGACTGCATTAAATTTTTCTTCTCACCTTCTGTGATGGGGTGGAAAGGAGAGTCAGCAAAGAGAAACGTGGTGGTGACGGGAGCCAAGCCAGCAGAGAACCTTTGCCTTTCGGAGACTTCATCAGCCGCCTGTCAGCTAACCCTAGAGCCGCTTGTTGTCCGACGGGGAAACCCGTAACCACTGCGTATCGTCCCCTCCAGTCTTGCCCACTCCAACTGGACATTTTTGTCTCTGGAAAATGTGTGACCAGAGGACAGTGCAAAGTCACAGGGTCACCGTCTCTGTGACACCCACCCTTCTCTGGCTGGCGCCCCTGAGGCTATGGAGTTCTCCTGGGGACAGTGGAAATAACCATTAAAAGAAATCTTAAAAAGCAGTGATAAAAGGAAAGAGAAGATTCAGAATTAAGGTGTTTCCTCCCTAGAACACATCTACAGTTAACAAATATCAAAACAGCCTGAGAGAAAGCTCATACTTTATCTTCTTAGCATTTTTCAGTGTTTTTGGACAGGAGAGCCTTGACCAAGAGCTCGGAAAAATTTGACTGCCTTCTGCCAACTGCCATGTGTATGGATACCTATGACGCTCTTATAAGTCACAACCCTCACCTAAAATACTAGTCTCTATAGAAAAGGAAGAGACGCCAAACAGTTAAGGGCTTCCACCACAGTCTTCCAGTCCTGTTGAACAGGTAGAGAGAAAGGAAGGATCCACCAAAACCAGACTTCAAGAGTTGCCGTTGAAGTGCCCGTACCCAGTGCGTGGACACTGCCGCAGCGCACGGTCCCAGCACAAAGTCCAGAAACAGGCGTTGTGGAAACAAGAAGCCTGCTGTACTAGAGGAAACCCAGAGTTAGATGTTGTCCCAATAACAGACACCAGTTTCTTAGCCTTGAGATGTTCAGCAAGCTGACACATCTGCTTGACTCCACTCATCAGAGCAATAAGGAGAAACTACCGAGTCTGAGTTCTTGTGAGTTGGTCTTGCAGCTTGAGTAGACGTGGGAAGTTCAGCCGAGACCTTTATGTTCCTTCTAAAAAAGCTCTTTGTATGCTTTCATTTGAGTCTTTTTGTTTTAAAGAGAAGATCAAGAAGCAGCAGGACCAGCACTGGTTGTTGCAGCAGCAACAAAAAACATTAGTTAAGAGTTTTTGTCTCCAGGTCTTGTTTCCATGTGGGTTCTCTGATGTTTAATGAGGGTTGAACTCATATTACAACCTGTTCCCTGGAAGAGATTAACTAGGTCTTTTCAATACCTCTGCCTATTTCAACAAAATTTGTAGCTCCTTGTTATCTGTAAGACCTCATTGAACCTTGAACTTCTGTCAAACTTGTTCAAATTGCCCACTAATTAAAAAAAGTATTAGAGAGAGATAGCAGGTAGGGCGCACACTTAATGTGGAGAAAATCGATTTCCGCTACTTTTCTGCTTCCTCTTCCCACAGCTATGTGGGAGGCTTGGCAGCCAGGAACACCACCACTGACTAAAAGGATTCTGTGAAAAGAAGACGCTCTCGCCCTCTGTTGCCTCAACAAATCGCTCCCTGCAGCAAGAGACAGCCTCTGCCCGTATCACCTCACAGCCGTTTTCAGCTCCTTCCTCCATCCAATTTGCTGCAGCGCAACAAAGTGCTCCAAAAATAACACTTGTTTTTCAAAACTGGAAAATGGCACAAACCACCCCAAAGGAGAGAATGACAACAGCATGAGTTCAGCGCGGGCTCGTGAACTGACCCTTCCTTGCCAGCACCAGGAAACTGGAACCTGACGGAAAGAGACTGAATGGAACCAGATCGAACAAAAGCGCCAGAAACCGCGGCCGCCGATCGCCAAATCCTGCTGAAAGGATAACTCACCCGCCTGTCAGTCCTTCGCTAGAGCGAGCGCAAGGACTGTCATGGCTCTGCAGCTATAAACGCCTCCGCTTTGCAAGTCTGCACGTACAATCAGCTGGAGCATGAACGTTAAGCAAGGAGAAATTTAAAGATCAGAAATGTTTCCAAATGATAGCTTTAAAGTTGGGGATCAGCAGAGCTTGAACATCTGATTTCAATTCTAAACTATTTTGATTAGCGGATGTTGATGCAGTACCCCAAATACACTTACAATTTCTGTTCAAAATGGTATTCTTCAGTAATGATAGAGCTGTTATGTATGAACTGCTAAACAGAGGCCACACCACTGCTGCTGAATGGACTAAAAGTTGGACCAGTCAGAGGAGAAATAAACTAAATCATTCTCTTTGAATAGACAGAGCCAGATTTGCCACTACCTTACATCTTGTATAACCATTTAGATCATGTCTATGTAGGGTAACCCTTATGAAAATGAAGTTATAAATGCATAATAAATCCATCTAGAAAAATTCCTTGCCTATGAAGAACAGAAAGTAATTTTAATTTGTAAAGTAATAAAAGCTGAATGCCAAATTTAATGCTAAAATTGAAGTCAGAAGTTATATGAAGACAGGTTTTCAGAAGCAGTAATTTTCTGATGTAATATTTGAAAATGATCAATTCAAATTCTGCTTTTGAAAAATTTTCTGAGCTTTGATCTTGCTCCAAGTTTAGCCCAGAACAACTATTATATGGCTGACATTAAAAGTCTCAAAACAAAGTGATTTACAATGGAAACACAGAAAATAAATCAGTATTTCAGAACTTCCTAGCACACCACAGATTAGATCCAGAAGGTCAGACAAAGTTGTCATTGAGTACGCGAGCTCTCCCTGCTGCAGCTGAGGACCGCAACATACAGAAGAGCAAAGTCCGTTAATGAACTCGATCAGATATAAACAATGACCTGTGCCTTCCTAGGTATCTCTGATCTTTTGGAGAGGCACTTCAAGATTATAACCTACAACGATTGTAACATGACCACAGTCAGTGACTTACAGCGAGTTGAGAAGCGAGGCTTCCTCTGGCCGGAGCAAGTAGACACATTCACCAACGCCCTACTGAAGAATATTTGACCACCAAAATGAGAACCATTAACATCCTGAATTAATGGGCTTAGTGGTTTTCAAATGAGGTATTTTCATGATGGACATGGTGTGGATTCAGCAAAGTTTGCCCTTTAACAAATGCAGCTTCAATTTCAAAGATTCGATTAGGTTTAATACCATTAGGGAACCATTACTGATTTTATGCTGTTGTTGTTAACTGCTTTAACTATCAGTTTCTGAACCAAAAATTGCAGACAGTTGGCTTGACCAAGAGTCAAGGTTTAGGAATGCAAAAGCAAATCCAAGGTACAGATGAGCTTCAGATGTGGACAGGCTTCACAGGGTTTAATAGGCTCTCCAGAGTTTGTCAGGTCACAGGGTTTTTTTGGTTGGTTTTTTTTTTTTTTTTTGGGGGGGGGGGTGCACCCACATTTGTTTCTTCGTGGTTTTTGTTTGTTTTAAATACTTCTGGCATCAGTCAGAGCAACTGGAATTCATACAAGCAGTTATTGCATGCAACAATTAAAAAAACCTCAACAACAATCTTTTGTTTTATTGTATACCATTTACAAAAAAACAAAACAAATGAAAATGATCACCACCACGTGTTTCTAAAACAGCCAGATGTTCACAGTTTAAGAAGCCAAATAATACTACTACTTTTTTGTAAACGTTAATGGTGAAAGAACAATAATAATGGTTTTAGTCAATCATCATTAGTACTTGAAAGTACACATATAAATTAAATAAGACTCAAAAAGCTTGTACAATAAAATCTGCTATAAACAAAGCTAATTAAAAAGAACTGCTCTAACCTGTGTTGTGGGTTTCATCTTGTTTTAAAATTAAAAGCAGTATTTATTTTTCTGAAGCATCCAAATGAATGTTCATATCCAGATGTCCTTACAAAGAAACACAATCTTCATTCTTTCCTCATTTTTTAATCTGTTTATATTATATTTTACTTCTGATTGTCTTTTTCTTCCTTGGCAATCCTCTTCGTCACACCACTGAAATACTTCTCACGGAAAGAATTGTGTCCCCTGTATGGCATATATTGACCATCCAACAAGTAAGAATGCTGATCTTGATCCTGCATGGTATCAAAATGCAAGCATTAGATTTTATGGGAATATGTTCAGCATATATTGCCATTGGTTTTCCTCCAAACTTTTTCAAACAATTACAAGCAAGAGTAAAGTTGGTTTGGTTTGGTTTTTTTTTACAATTCAATAGCAAACATTTAAGTCACTAGATTGATTAAAGAATTTCAAAATTAGAATGCTAAGGCTTCCATTAGGATTAACAAGAACATATACATCCTACTACAAAGTCTTAACATTTAACAGAAATTAAATTCTGTATGCAATGGATTCTCATTTGACATTGATCAAATACAAGCTGTAAGCAGACAAGGGGTTTTTGTTGGTGTTTTATTTTGGTTTATGTACTCGTTCAAATGTTCTTTATTCTACTCTGTATGGCAAAATGATGCACATTGTTAGTACCAGACACTTGAAGTGTTAACAGCACTGCATCACTAGAAATATCTCAGCTAACATCACCAGAATCCAATCCTTGCATGAATGAATGACAGCACAGGTACTATGCCACACAGACTTTTATAAAGGAAAATATTAAGTTTAGTTTCCAGAAAAAATACCATCTGGAGAATTCAATCAGAGGTTTGTGGAAGGCGGATACAAACAGAAGAGGAACACAAATGACTGAAATGAGTTCCTACAGTTACTGAAGTGCAATCAGAGGATTTTTTTCTTGTACAGTATTCATGAACTTCTGAAAGTTAAAGTTGATACAGTAAATCCCTACACATAATACCTATTTGACATCAGCCAAGAACATAGTTTAGAAAATTGGCCCATTATATATACAAAGGTTTAGTTCATCATGTACTGTGGCTTTATACCATTAAGATACTTGTCAGCTAATGTTATCAATACTGTAAGATAAACAATACATCACACTTTAATCTGAGTGCTAAAGAAAACTGATGGCAACTTTTAAAAATGGTTTTACACTTATGGTTAATGTCAGTTTATTATGATCAATAGCAAGATGGAGCTGAGAGAAGCAGCCTCACATAGAACAACTGAACTGTGCAAAGAGAAAATAAAAACAAGCGTACGACAGAACTAAACCTCTGTTCCGCTAAATGTTTCTTCTCAATGCATCCTCACTGTCATAACCTTTTTAAGCAATGCAGCAACATACAGATTGGTTCGTTACTTAAGTTCACAGTTCAGAGTTATTTATTCATATTTGAAAATAAGGTTATTGTGGAATGCTTTAGCATAAGTACTAGGAACATGGAAGTAGATTTAAGTCAATATTTACATACTATGAAAGTATTACAACGCAAGGATTAATTGAATCCTAGTGGACAATCTCCCCCTCCAGCTATTCTGTAGCCTTTTCAGGCCCTCCCCTAGCAAGATCAACACCTCATCTTGCTTTGGATATCCTAATACCCACTCTGAAGGAGTGAAACAAAAGGTTTTTCAACACAGCAAGATGCTTGTGTGCATGTACAAGTGCCCTCTTCTGGACACACTGAGATACTATGAAGTACTTCTCATCTGCTATCCTAGCAGATACCAGTAGCATGCCACTGGCTTAAATTAACTTGCTAAATGTTAAGTGCCACGTGGCTATCTAACATGTAAAGCATGTACACCAGTAGCAGCAAATTAGTTCTACTTAAATACCGCACTGTTGGAAAATAGCAAGAGAAAATGACCTCAGTAAACCCACTGCAGACATGGTACTATCTGTTGTCTTTTGGTCACCTGTCAGAGACTGCCATCTCCAAAGCCGTTCTCAGGCTGATAATCAACAGGCTTTGAACATGTCCATGGGAAAAAAAAAAAAAATTACTATAGGCAGACAGGAAATGAGGACGAATTAAGACACACTCCTCTCAAGCCAGCCTGTACCCACTTCTCCAGGTCTCTTCTACAGGACCACTCTGAGGAAAAGGGCACTTAATTCTTTCCCTGAAATTGCAAGTCAGAAATCCTTCTTTGACCTAAACGTATAATATATTTTTATAGCTTTGGGATGTGTTTTAATGATAATTCTACATAATTTGCTTGTTTTGAGAAACGGATGGGATATTTGACCCTGAAGGATAATGATGTATGGGTCAACAGTATTTTAACATAAAAATTAATCCCCACAACCTCTAAGAGGTCCCACATCTGTACACCATTCATCTTGATTCCTTAAGTAACAAAATGCTGATTCAGGGTGAAGGGAGGAAGGAAGAAAGGAACTACCCCCTCTACCCCGAAGCTGGTTAGGGCAAAGAGAGGATATGATATGTAAGACAACAAACTTCAAGTTAAACACAGCTGTAAGAGGACCATCTGCCTTCATCAAATGGAAACAGGTTTGGTGCATCACTCCACAACAGAATCCATTTTGTAAATCCAGGCCTCATCAAAAGCTATGCAAATCATTGCTCACTAGATGAGAGGAGGTCTGCAGTCAGGCACGGATTTCTTGGGAGAGCTTACCAAGGAAGCTCCTGGCCCATATCACAACCATTCCAGCTTAAGGGCTTCCATTCCCTACCTCACCCCTGTACAGACATGACTGCCCCATAAAGATGATAATTGCTTTAAAGAAAAATAACAGATTGGGAATTGCTCCTTAAAAAAGGGAAAAGAAAATAAGAAATCCTGAACTACCTGGAGATGCCACTCACTGTTGACATTTACTGGACAAAACAGTTTTAAGGGCAACATGGGAACTGATTAAAGTAAAAGGAATTCTTGGATTTCAGAGACTAATGATCCGAACAAATTCTAACTTAGGATATTTTATATCTACATGGGGAGCTGAATGGGTAGAATCTGACCACTAGGGATAGGCTGCATTTAACTCTACAGAGATAAGAACTGGTCAAAAATAATCTTCATGAAACAATTTGTTGTGACTATTTGGGCATCAGGCACCAGCTTGTTTCGGTAAGGAAGCCAGTCAAACATCCTCAGTTAAGCTCTATCTTGAGTAGCATAAATTGGTAGAATATGCACTCTAAGTATCTGACAGGAATATTTTGCAGTAAGAGAAGATCTCTTATGGAGGGTGGCAGTGACAGTGTCAACTCTCCCTCAAGTACATTAACTGTCCAGTGCAGTTAATATGGATGTTTTTTCTTTTCTCTTGCCTTTTTTTTTTTTTAAAAAAAGTTTAAATTCAGGGAATGGAGTTGAACCACAGTGTTTTAAAGGAGACAGTCTCTTTCCTCCTCTTAACATGACATACTTAGAGAGGAATAAGGAGTACTGCTTGTGATACACAGCTGCATCTAGGGATGAGTAGCTTTTTTCACTTATTTCCTTTAAAACAAGTGTACATAGCTTTCAAGGCATAAAGTTTGTAATTGGTTACTCAACACAAAACAGCGAGACTTCCCAAGAAATCATTTCCAAGACTGATCAGCAACGATCAGCCTACTTGGCACTGTCAGCTCTTCCCCCGGTCTGCCAGCACTACCAAGACGACAAAGACTGCTTCCGTTATTTGTAAAAGTCAGAACTGAAGATGTTCGTTAATCCCTGGTCATTCTTTACCATCATCCTTGTTGTCACTTTGAATAATTTAAGTTCTCAAAACTTAAAGTCTGCTCAAAACAGCAGACTAATTGCAAACAACAGTTATCACATAAAACTTTTGCTCTGAAATGTTTTATGATGACTTCTGTGACAACTGAAAACCAACAAAGCTCTTGTCAAACTGCACGCTACCAAATTGATTTTAGCTAATTTGAGTTTTCAACTCAACACTTATTTGTTCTAAAGACAACACTAAAAAAGGTGTTACAGATCTCCAATAAGCAACAAAAGAGGTAGAAGAAAGAGGAGGAAGCTTAAAGATATCAAGAAAGCTTTGTTTTTCTTTAAATCTTGGCAAATATTAAGTGATATTCTAAAGGTTTTTATGAATCTAGCATGCCTCAGTTCAGCCCCAGGGTAATTACCCACAGTCAGTTTTTTGTTTAAAAAAAGGAGAAAAAAAAAATCTTCCTAGCCTTATCACAGCTTCCTACCACTCTACATCTGGTGCTAGACAGTAGCTACAGAAACCACTTGTACTAATGTTATACAGCTATAAACAACACTGAGCGGTTTCCAAATCAGGGTCATATCCAGGAACAGACACTGCTAAATTCAGTAGGAAAAATTCTACACCAGTAACGACTCTGGAGTGACCATGACACACAGAAATCCTGGACCCATTCAGTGTCATGGATCTGTATGCCCGATGCTCCAATGTCCTTTCACAGGCTCAGAGTTCATCCTTCAGTCAAGTTTCCTGTTTCATCTTGCTACGTAATTTCTAGGTGTCTCTCGTAGCCCTTGTCAATTACAGATCTCTCCTCCAATTTTTTTTTTAAGAAGTCCTGATGAGAAACTTCAAACTAGGAAGCATGTACCAGCCAAATAGATACCATAAATTTCTGTAAGACAGCCAGCAGAGGAATGAAACAAGTAATTCAGCAACAGCTGAAATAATTCAGCATGGGAAAATCAACAAGCCTCAGAAAACAGAAAGCTAGATGTACTATTGTAAAGAAAGGGAACACCAAACAACCCTACAGTTAAACACTGTTAGTAAGTCCACCCCTCCCGAAAACAGCTGGCTGATCACCAGATAAAGATTCCCAAGAACCCTTGTGGTAATAATGCTGTAAGTTTTTATACTCAAATTTTCCTATTGATTAACCACTTACCAGATATTTGATATTTAAGTACAAATGATGACAATTCAGATATAGGTGGCACAGACTGAGACCTTGCAGCCTTACGTAACTATATTTTTTAAGGCTTTTTAAAAATAAACTGGCACAACGGCAGGTATATTTTCACTTGATTTGGGCTGGAAAAATTGGTTCAAACCTCCTCTGACCTAAAACAGAAGACTGGACTCCTACTAGATCACAGTTGACAGACATTACAACATGAATCTACTCGGCCAACAGCTTCTCATTCTTCCACTACTGCTGTATTTCAGTTCTTACATACAAATGCCCACAGTCTTTGGAGAGCTGAACCGGTGTTTTTACTGATTCAAACCCCCCCCCACCTTCACAGTTCAATGAGGGTAGACTCACACACAGTCCTGCCTGCTATAATATCAATTAGAAAGTTTTATTTCAGGTTTGAAGAGACATTGGGGAGATCCATATCCATTTAATACCAGAAGAAGGGACACTAATGTCCACAGAAAAAAGTAATACATCAGGCTAGTAAGCTCTCACCTCATATCACTTCTGTTTTGTTCCTCTCTCGTTCCACACTCTGGTTCTTCACTTCTCTAATTCTTCTGCCTTCAGCGTTTTAGAAGACTAGAAGTTGCTAGCTGGCTACAGCTAGCTGCCCTCTACAACAACTGCCTTCATTCACTTTTATTATTATCACCATAATTTAAGACTGGGGAGGAGAGGAGTTACTAATGACCACCATGGCTGTCCAAAAAAAGCGTTAAATGTTAAAAACCAAACAACTCTTCTGCTCATATTGTGCACATGCTGGAAAAGCCTATTCATATCAATTCTGTGTTCAGTAAGAAATCTTTTCCAGTTGGCACGATTTCATCGTAAACTTAAATAGAACAGACTGGATGCTTACAAGACAGTGAGTTATATACCACCTTTTGTGAGGTTTTTAATCCAACATTTATGATCTTCATGCTTATGATTAAGTACAATAGATCAATACTTCAACTAGACTTATTCACTTTTTACATTCACTTTGGTCTCCTTTATATTACAAGCACAATCAAATTGCACCACCAATTTCATGTTCAGTAACTGATTGAATTAATCTCCAGTTAAGAGTTTAGAGTGTTGATAGTGAAATCGAATTTGCTGTGAAATCTGGAATTCATTATTGGTGGCAAACACTGGGGAAACTGGAGGACTGCATAATGACACTACAGGATTTGTAAAACTTCTTAGCCACTTGTGAGTACTACGCTAAGCTGAATTCAAAGGCACTTGTGAGTGCCTGTTACAAACCAGTTTAGTAAAGCAGACAGGAACTGTCTGGAAATATAAATGCTTATATATTCATAAAAAATCATTCTTTCATTTAGGAAAAAGAAAAATGGCCAAAGCTCTGACTATTGAATTTTATGATCGTAATTGGTGAGTCAGAAGTATCCAATTCAAAGGTTGTTCAAGATATTAAAACAGGAAAAAACATGTCCCAGGTAAGGGACACTGGAGTGGGGAAATCTTAGATAGTTAGATGCCAAACAGCAAGCAGGCACTAGCTAAGGAGTCAATATGTATTTGTTATTTGGAAAAGTTTTGCATCATCAGAAACAGTACACGGGTTCTGGTATCTTTAAATTACCTAAAAGGCATCTGGAGTCCTGAGTGTAAGCACCTGCACAGTTTTATCTAAGCAGTAAGCCTGCCAACTAGACTCAGGTGCTCAGAGTTAAGCATTTCCAGACATGAACCTCTCAAAGCATGTACTGAAGAACAGGTGATGCACAAGAATAACAAATGATGAAAGTCTATTCGCAGAAAGGTGGATATATTTTTTTAAATTAGAACATGTTATCCTACAGCACTGGCATTAATAACTCCTGCAGAAAACCTCCAATGAACACCCTGAGACATGCATGTCAAAAACTTCCATAATCTACCCTCTTGGCTCGCTACTGGTAAAGTTGGCAGCTCTGGCTCGAAACTCCACATACAGTGTTTTAAAAAACATTCAGGTGTTGCTTGAGAATCTCAGTCATCATTAGCATTATGAATGCAGTACTGAAACCATGCTGTGTTATTAGAGCAAGCACCATGCAGTCTGACTGTACCTCCTGTCATTTAAAATAGCTCTTCCAACTGACCAGGAATGTACTAAAAACACTTGCTCACTGTTTGCATGTGTTTTCATTAACAATTTGCTTCACCTTTGTTTAGCATCTGTCCTGATTTCAGCTGAGACAGAGTTAATTTTCTTTCTAGTAGCTGGTATAGTGTTGTGTTTTGGATATAGTATAAGAACAATGTTGA